CATGAAGATACTCAAAGATGTGAAATCACTCATTGGTAATTGCTTGCGTTGGAAAGAATCCTCAAAAAGAGCAGCTACATCTCAACCTTTATGTCAGCACATGAGACATTAGCCGAAATCAATTAATATGGTTTCAGCACTACTTAACAGAAACACGGTTACCGGAAAAAGCATAAAATCAAGCCCAGGGGTTGTAATAAAATTGTCAAGCAAATGGACTGTGGCTTTGGTGGAAGGGCTTGTGTGGCCTAGGAATCTTCAGAGCTAAGTTGTCTGGAGCCATTTGCTCCTGGTAGGGTCTTCCAAGGCAAACAGGTCTGGAGTGAAGACCAAGACTAACTCAATCCAAAAGTCCAGGAGCCTGGGGGTAGTATTACTTGGCGAGCGCCCGGTGGCAAGGCAGCCCATGTAACTCAGCCGAGCTCAGCCTGAAAAGGCAACATGAGTCAAGTCAAGTCAAGAGGCTTTTATTGTCATTCCATCTATGTACAAGTACACAGTGGAGTGAAATTACATTCCTCCAGGAACAAGGTGCAACATGGAACAAAAAAAGTACAAAGGGAAGGGGACTATGTGGGCCCACCACACACAAAGGTCCAGCATGGAGGGCCAGTGCAGTGCCTTATAGATGGTGGGAGATGGCAAGGAAGTCCTTGGGGACATGGACCCCTGTGGCGCAAACTGGCTCATGGTATGTGGAATGTAACCTCACTGGGGAGAAAGGAGCCAGAGCTTGTGCTGGAGGTTGAGAGGTATCAAATAGATATAGCGGGACTCACCTCCACTTACAGTGTCAGCTCTGGAATCAAATTCCTTGATAGGGGCTGCTCCCTGTCCTACTCAGAAGTTGCACAGGGTGAGAGGCAGTGGGTGGGTGTGGGGACACTCATGAGTCCGGGGCTGGTTGCCGTGCAGTTGGAGTTTGTCCCAGTGGATAAGAGGGTTGCCTCAATGCGAAATAAAATTGCAGGGCTTGGTGCTTATGAACCAAACAACAGTTTGGAGCATTCGGCCTTCTCGGAGCAGGTGGACAAGGTTCTGGAAAGAGCCCTGCCTACAGACTCCATAGTCTTGCTGGGAGACTTCTATGCTTATGTTGGCAATGACTGGGAGACCTGGAGGAAGAATGGGAAGAACGGCCTGTCCGATCTAAACTTGAATGGTGAATTGTTATTGGACTTCTGCGGTTGACATGGATTGTCCATAACGAACACCAAGTTTGAACACAAGGATGTTCATAAGTGTATGTGGTACTAGAGCTTCTTGGGTTAAAGGTTAATGATCGACTTTGTTGTCATTTCATCTGACTTCGGACCATATGTTCTGGACATGCGGGTGAAGAAATGTGCTGAGCTGTCAACCCGTTTGATATTTTATATGTTATTTTAACTCCCACCTCCAGGAGAGCTTTTCTCATGCTCCGGAGGAGGTAAGGGGCATGGAGTCTGAATGGACCCTGTTCAAACCTCCATAGCGGAAGCTGGAAGGCATAGCTGTGGCCAAAAGCTTGTTGGTGCCTGTAAGGATATTGTCGGTCAGTGGAAGGAGCTCTTTGAGGAACTCCTTAATCTGAGAGACATACCTTCCTCACAGGAGTCAGGGCCACTGGACTCCATTGTCCTGGTGGAGGTCACTGAGGTAGTTGGCAAGCTGCTTAGTATCACACTGCTCAGCCTCCTGGGGAAAGTTAATGCCAAGGTGCTGGAAAGGAGACTCTGACCGATAGTCGAACCTCAGATTGAGGAGGAACAATGTGAATTTTGTCCTGGCCGTGGAAAAATGGACCAGCTTTTCACCCCTTGCAGATTGTTGAGGGGGCATGGGAGTTTGCCAACCCAGTTTACATGTGTTTTGTGAACTTGGAAAAGGCTTACGACCACATTCCCCACAATATCCTGCAGGAGATCCTCTGGGAATATGGAGCGCCACATCTTCTACTCCAGGCCATTCAATCTTTGTACTCCCTGAGTGAGAGTTGTATCTGTATACTCAGCTTTAAGTCAAGTGAGTGTTGGACTCTGCCAAGGTTGTGCCTTGTCTCCACTTCAGTTCGTGATATTCAGGGACAGGGTGTCAAGGCGTAGCTGAGGTCAGGAGGGCATTATGTGTCGAGGCCAGAGGGTGGCATCTCTGCTATTTGCAGATGCTGTTGTCCTCCAGCCTTCAGCACTCACTGGAGCAGTTTGCAGCTGGGTGTAAAGCAGCTGGTATGTGGATCAGCACCTCCAAGTGGCATGCCCACTCCAGGTAAAACGAAAGGACCTGCTCCAAGTGTAGGAATTTCAAGTATCTCAGGGTCTTGTTCACGAGTGAGGGAAAGAGGGATCGTGAGATCGGCTGCAGGCTGGGACAGGCAGCAGCAGTAATGCAGTCACTGTATTGGACTGTAGTGGTGAAGAGCTTTCTGTTTACCGGTTGGTCTACATCCCAACCCTCACCTAAGGTCATGAGCTGTGGGTAATGACCGAAAGCATAAGATCGTGAATACAAGCAGTGGAAATGAGCTTTCTTTGTAAGGTGGTGGGCTACACTCTACTTCATAAGGTGAGGATCTTGGTCATCAAGGAGGAGCTCAGAGTAGAGCTGCTACTCCTCCACATTGAGAGGAGCCAGTTGAAGTGGTTTGGGCATGTGATCAGGATGGAGGGTACCAGGCACAGACTACCGGGACAAGACCTCAGGGTCATCCTAGGACATCCTGGAAGGATTATATCTCTAAATTGGCCTGGGAGCAGCTCGTGGCCCCCAGAATGTGCTAGAGGAAGTTGCGGGGGACAGGGTCATCTGGGATTCTCTGCTCTCCCAACTGCTATGGCAACCCTATCTAGATTAAGCAGTTAAAGATGATGATGAAATAGAACATGTTTGTAAGAGATTTTATATTGAGAAGAGCTAACTTAATAACCTGTGCACTTTGCTCCAAAAGCTGTGACATTTTACATATTGCAGATTGGATATATTCATATTATCTGACATGTACTCTCTGTTGTTTCTGTTTCTGATAAGTATTGGAATGGGAGAAATTTCTGAAACAAAAGGTTCAAGCGTGTTTTGAAAATATGACATCATCACAGTAGCCGCACAGACCGAGAAATATCAGTTTGCTGGGTTACTTGAAACAGTGTGACCTCTTCCCTTTCAGCAGAGGAGGGTCAGGTGGAGCTCCTGTTGATGATGAGATAGAGAGTGAAGCTTCCCTTCTGTTGGTTGAGGAGCTTGTCTCTTTCTTTGAGGTGGTGCAGGTGTTGAGGAAGCTCTGTTTAATAGTTCATCTATTTAGCTGAGCTGCAGTGTGGCAGCTTTAACTAGCTCCTTGATTGGTGATTGTGATTGGGAGGATGGTTGTTGGGTCACTGAGGCAGTATTTGAGGCTGGAGGAGAAACCCGGCTAATTTTTCACAGAACCTAAGGGGTTGGCTGACAGAAAGAGCAACAGCCTCATCCCAGCTGAAACCAGCTACTTCACAACTGGTAGGAGCTCAGATGGGGTAAGGAGGCGGTAAAGATGGAAGATGGTGTGGATTGCTTGTGTGTTTTTTTGTTGTCTCCAGTCACTGATACAGTTGAACAACATTGGCTCACATCCGATATGCAGAGCTGTCAGGGCATTCTTAGTGGAGAAAATATGTTGTGGATCTGGAGTGATGACAGAGTCTTTGGATGTTAGTGCTGATGTGTCTCCACCAATGGGGGTGGAGAAATTGCACATGGACAAAATGAGGTTCTCTTTCAGAGATTTGACTCCCCTCTTGTTGATGTGCAGTTCATCCTACCTAAAAAATTCTCTCTTCCCAAAAAAGCTCTTCCAATTGAGCTTCCTGAGTATGTTAAAAGATTGTTAAATTCATTTTTTAATGCTTCAGACTTCTGCTTAATTGTGTCATTCTTGCCTACCTGAACAATGATCCGCTTCACTGCTGTGTATTTGGCCAGGAATGTAGGAAGCTTTTCATTTAGCTCAGATCCTGTGATATATATGATGACTCACATCGAACTATAAGTTGTGTTTTTTTACACCAACAGTCATCCCTGAAATGAAGGGTGTCTGCTTTGGCCACAGCCTGGGGCCCAGTGGCTCTACCAGGGAACACTTCCGGTTCTTTCTATGTTATGATCACTGCCCTTAGGACACTCACTGAGGCCTTGCAGTGGGTCAAATCTGTTCTGCAAACGCAGTGACTTGAACTGATATTTTGCTCTGGCTTTGCGCCGTGGTTTCTGAGCAGGAACTTTAGCATTAGCATTAGCATGATGGGTTGTGCTAGCAGGAGTAAAGGGATGAGACTACAGAGCTATAAGTAGCACAGCATTTGGGTTTAGCTCCAATATGGACTCATTGCTCATTTCTACCAGCTGTAAACACTGTAGCATGAAAAAATTACATAAATTTCTGAAAGTATAGAGGAAAAATGAAAGATAGCAAAGCTAAGCAGAGAAGTATCTGAATGGCAAGGAAGCAGAAAGTCAGTCCACCATTGCCATTTTTATTTTTTTTGCTGAGTACTAAAAAGTTTAATTTTTTTTGTGTTGTTGATTGTAATTTGGGAGTTCCTAGCTAATATTCTAAAGTGCTTTTCACTTCCAGCTTTCCTAAATGGGATTGGTCTTAAACAGTTCTGTGTTATATAGGATAATTCTGGTTATAAATTTGCAGATGAAGTTTGATTTATGTACAATGCATGTAGTGACTGTCAGAAAACATGCTTGTGTTCTTTTTTTTATCTCACACTAAAGTCCTGCAGAAGAACTAAGAGTTATAACATTTGGGGGCTCGTCCAGGATCAGTACCATTCATATAACAGATGAAAATTGTTGACTGGGAAGACAGTCTTGCAGAAGAATTCAGGATAATAATATCTGGGGACTCGTCTGGGATCTGTACCATTCAGATAATATTTGGAAACTGTTGACTGGGAGGACATTTAGGTAAATCCCCCCACCTTCACCCCCAAACAAGAAAAGAAAGAGTGTACACGCACTTCCTTTAATCTACACAATGCATTAATTTAAAGTTTAGAGTCAGCATGGATAGCGATAAATGGATCTTCTTCTGAGTTGCTGATTTTGAAATAGGCACGTCCATCTCCTCCAACCTGAACCTGCTTTCCAGTGCATTTGCTTCCCTCCTTCTGGCCAGAGATCACATCACAGTAGGTTCCTCCAGGCAAACCGGTGTTCAGAGTTGCATCCAGGGCCCTGAAATTAATCACTGTAATTCATACAACAAAAGCACTTAATTTAGGTTTTAGTATTTTACTCTGTAAATGTGTGGCCTTACCAGTCATCATTATTGATGACAATGAAACCATGGCTGCCACGGCCAAACGCAATCTGGTTACCACCATTGCTCCACCAGTTGGATAAAGTCTGTCCATTGACCACATTTCGGAAAATCACCATGTTTCTGTGGAGATTGTGTAATTGGAATTATCGTTGGTAGTGTCAGCAGGTAAAATTGTTTATTAGAACAGCTAAGAAAAGGCACTCACTTTTATGTGACGCCATCTATGCTCACAGACCCAGCCATCTCCACAGGTAGAGTCTGGATTGATGGGCACAGGCTTGGTTGAGCCATCGCCATTGCTGGGTGGTCCAATCCAGTCATTCTGATCCTGAGAAAGCAAAGAATTGAAGACATCAGAAAACAAGAAGTCCAAAATGAACAATGGGAAAAACTTCATGTACCTGTCCATTGACAATGTTGTGGGTCCAACGGAAACTGGACATCACTCTGGCAACTCCATAGGGGTGGGCCAACATCAGACCAACAGCCATCTTATAAAGCCTTGAAAGAAAGAGATGTTTTCCTTGCTTAAATTACCGTAAATGGTCATACAGTGTACAGTTAAACAGGTGCCGTTATCACTGATGTTTTGTAACTTCTAATACCTGGAATCCCAGAATATCACAATGGATGCACTTCCAGCTCTGTGGCCTCTCTGATTATCGTGGTTGTCAACAAATGCCAGGGCCTTACCAGTGGGCATGAAACCCCAGCCCTCCTCCCAGTTGCTGGAAAGAAGAAGGTAACTGGTCACATTAACTTACCAAAATAAAATAGATTGAGAACTTGATAACAAACAGTCGCTTCATTAACTTACGACAAGTAGCTCAGCTTTTCGCCGTTCCATTTGCAAATAACGTTACCCAGCTTGGCACCATACTTGAACTCAGTCACCCTTCCCAATCCCGTGTATTCAGATGCTTTGATGGGCTCACCACCGAGATCAATGACCTGCAACAGTTTTCCAGTTAAGGTAGTTCAGTTGAAGAGCTTCAATGAATGTAAATGAAATAAATTATCAAAAAAGGTACAGCGAAATATGTTATTATTAAAAAGGTCAAATTAAGTATATTATTTTTTAAAAAAAAGGTACACTGCTAATTCTTCTCATTTTAAGGAAAGCAAATAAAATTCATTCAAACCTCTTGGAAGATGAAGGGTTTGGAGCCAGAAGAGAACCATTTGGTGTTGAGAGTTTTGAGACGTCCATAAACTGCGCTAAGGTCACCAGGCCACATGTGCTTGCAGGCGTCCACTCTGAACCCAGCAACACCCATGTCGATAAGCTTGTTCATGTACTCGGCCACCTTACCGCGCACATAGTCCTTCTCCAAGGACAGATCTAGAAACCAACCAGACGACAGTTTCTCACCTGTCATCATTAAAACAGTTCAAAAATTAGGCATAAAAAAATTCAGCATGCAAGTTACAGTTTGAGACGCATTTACTTACTTGGTTAACATCGTTATAGTTCTCGATGTTTCCACTGCTGGTGTAGCATTTTCCATCATTGAAGTCCCAGGCTGAGTAAGGAACTGAAGGGAAGTCTTTTGTGTTGGCATTGAAGTATGAGCCACAGCTGGAGTGTTTACCCTCTCCACCACCAGCTCCACACATGTGGTTGATCACAGCGTCCACATAGATGTTCACCTACACAATCAATGAAAACAATTTTACCAAAGTTGCAATTCTCTTTGTGAACCATCTTGTTTTGCAGAAAACGAGATGCACAGTGATAGCATATATGAACAATAAATGCTGTCCCACCTCCACACCCTCAGTTAGAATGTCAACACAACAAAGTTTACATAAACACCATAAATCAAAGAGAACTTGGTATATACATGCACATGCATAAATATAGACACACAAAATTACTCCTGTATTTTGGTCAATGACAAATAATGTTTTCAAAAAATCATGATGTGCATTTTTATACCTGCATATGTATTTACATTTACAACAATGTGCATTCTGTCTTATGTATTGTGAGTATTATCAAAGTTTTTAATTGCCTATTTCGGTTATTAAACTGTGCTGGTTTGGTTGCTCCATTTGCCGCCTGACTTTTCAGACTAATCTCAAATTTAACAGACATCTACTTAGACACCCATAGAAACATTTGTCTTTCATATTGAGTTTATACTTACATTTTGTAAATAAGTAAACATTATTATAATAATTGCACATTTTCATGGTTCTCCTGTGGTCAGACCACCTGACATCGTAAACAGAACAGTTCTAACCACGACTCAAAAATGACATTTTTTAGTGAATTTGTGTCTGTGGTATTGCACCATGAAGGTCACTTGGGATCTTCTTTATGATGCAATACTGGCCCCTCTTTCATATAGGCATGTCAAAATAAAAGTCGTTTGTTATTGGTTGTGCTGCAGATAAAAGTTTTTCAGATAGTTGAGCACTTTTAAACTTGACTTAATTTGTGACATCATTTTTATTTTAAAATGTTCAAACACATGAGCAGGCCAAACTATTTTTTTTAGAATTTTACATACATAAATTCCTTTTTTTGACTATTTAATTAATCATTATATATAGTTGCACGGTTGCACTAAAATTAATTTTATATGGATGCACTGAAATTTTTGCATCTGGTGATCATGTCCTTCAGCTCATTCTCATTTCCTGATCTGGAGCACAGATTGTAACTGATCGGCTGATATCTCTGCCACCAAGGATGCCAAGGGTTGGTGACAACAATGCTCTCACTTGGAGGGGAGATCTGCAAGATGAAACATAGGAAAAAGTCCAGTGTTGAATTAACTCCCACAAAATTGATTAACATTTTTTCAGGGTTTATACAGCTCCACACTCTCCAGAGTTAAATTAACACTTTCAAAATAGATAATGATCTAACACTGTGTCAGAGTTCCTTTTTTAACTTGTGAAACTGTTAAATTAACATTAAAGGATTAGAAAAATAACACTGTCCTAAGTGTAGAACATTTTTCTTTTTGGATAGTTAAGCTATCTACACTGAAAATATTTTTTAATTAATTAGGAAGGATTCATTCCAATAAGCAAAACAATTTTCAAAAATAATAATTATTTGCAAATATTCATGCAGTTTAATTAAAACATTACAAAAAGGTATAATACACAAACTGTCATCTGCAACATAATGTGAGCTTTGAATATCAAATGGTTTATAAAATTTAAGCTCAGACACTTTTATCAGACACCTTTCCACACTTCATAATACTTTGAATACTTAATGCTTTGTTTGTCAATAAAAAAGTGTTCAAAATCTTCAACTAAACGTATCACTTATGAAAAAAGACTGGAATGTCTTCTTCCATCAAACTGCAAATAAGTTCAACTTTCTACTCTACACCATCAACTTTAACCCAGCTAGTTGATAAAACATATTTTGACAAGATCATTTCAAGCATTTCATTGTTCACCACATTTTTATCTCTGAGGGAAAATTTTACTGTATTCATTTAGTTTAAGGGTGAATGTTTCCCAGTGACAAGCTATGGTGACAAGTATGGTCTGATGCATTTTAGCAAGTGATTTGGTTATGTCTGAAATTTTTTAAAGAATCTTTAAACAGATTGTGTTTGGCTTCAAACATCATACTCCACACATATAGTAAGGGGCCAGTTTTCTTTACAGAATATGGGTAATGAATCATAAAATAATGTTCAGGTACCAGGTTTTAATGAGGATACAACTGCTTAAATAGTTTGTGGTGGTCAACAATCAAATGCTTCAAATATACTGTCATAAGTAGAGTGAGAGAAAAAGGGAAAACTATGTTCATCATTTGAAGTAACAACAGTAACGAATTTCATTTATTAACTACACTGTTTGACCTGCTGAACAGTGTCATCATATGACTTACTATTCACAGATATGCTAATGCAGGAGTAATAAATTCTAATCCTGGAAGGCCAGAGTTCTGCACAGTTTGGTGATTTTCCTGCTCATCTACACCTCATTCTGCTCATTAGTTAATTAGTGTTCAGGTTTAACAGGTTTAGAAGGTGTGTTAATGCAGGAAAATCACTAAACTCTGCTGGTCTTTGGCCCCTTCAGACTGGAGTTCTCCATCCCCGCTCTAAAACTTTGAAACATACATTTGAAAAATCTACTTTCTATCTATTTACACATACCTGAACTCCACCGTAGCCATTGGGTGCCAGATATCTCTCACACTCTGCTGCAATATCAGCCCTGTGATGTGCTGAAAAAAAAATTGGTAACACTTTCTATGAAGGTTGTATTCAAAAATAGTTATACATGTGCTTGTAACTCTTCATAACCCTGTAACAGTGCTTTGAAAGCATATTTATTAACTCTAATAGCCCCATAAGGCTGTAATAATGTACTTTAATGAACACTTAGAGTTAACTGTCCATTATGATCCCCTTAAAAACAGATAATGACCTGTACATATTTATTAAGCACCTATAAGACTTATTAGCAATGATAAAACTTGTGAACATTTAAAATGCGATGACTGAGTGCTTCAAACAAATTGATAGGTAGTTTATTAACATTCGGATATTAAATATGGCATGTGCTGTTCTTGTGTCAGTCAGTGTGCACTTTCTAATATACTGTATATCAATTATACATTTATCGTAATCAGTGATGGAATTTTACATATTATTAAAATGTTTTCCTAACTTACATAAATTATATGTGTACATTTTACTTATTTGTGGCTGACCTAGTCAAGTTAAATGAACACCATATACATAACAGAACAACATTCTTTTTCTTATTTTGTTACATAAACTTATTACCTGACATACAATAAACAATAAATATTTTTTGCAGGGTAATAAACATTAATGAACACAAAAGTAACTTCAGGGGCT